TTCTTGCAGTCATGAGGTTAGTGACTCCCCCCGTTCCAGAAAAATGGGTGGGAAGAGAAGAAGGGTGGGAAGAAACAGCTGAGATTTTTTTTCCCTTTTGTTGACTGTTGACTTCCTACCTCTGTCAAGTTATTGATCCAAGAGGTGACTGTTTGCTCTGAAGATGCAGCAGAGCTCTTTGGAAGTTGCATTTCCCCCAATAATCAAACCTCATGAAGATACAGGAAATATCAGAGACATGGAGGAGAGGGCACAGAAAGAAATCAAGACGGTGTGATATACAAGTGATAGGGAATCGGACATCTTCACTATCTGTACTCCACATCACTCCACGGAATCGAACGAACACAGCACCTCAAATCGCGGGAGGAATTGTGCGGCCCAAGTCTAGTGGGAGTCAAGTGGGATTTGGTTGCTAATCTTATTATAGGAGCTGCTTCATTTTCATATTGGCCCCCTCAACTCCCACAAGACCTTGCCCCAATATATTCTAGGAGTCAAAGTTCCAGAGCCCCGTCGATGCGCATTTGACTAAAGCACAGTTGCCGGGTGAGAGCGATTTACTTGGGCTGAGGTCCTAAACGAAAGTGGTTGAAATTCGCTCTTCAGGGAAATAACAGTTTAAAATGAATCCTGAACAATTTGCCCACGGCAATTCGAAGAGACTCTCCCTGGCATTGGAGGGCCGAGACCTATGCCTCCGTCTTAGCTTTGACACTGGTTAATTGGGTGACCTCGGTCAAGTCACTTACATTCTCTGTGTCTCAGACTCCTGATTTATAAGCTAAAGCCCTGTGCTAGTTCATTCTCAAATGCCTTTTGTTTCGATCCGATATTTGGTCGTCCCGTGTCTGGCTTTGCTGGTGGGTAGGGGGAAATGGGATGTGTCCTACTTGCTAGAAAATGTCACAACTCTGTGCCTCCTCTGCCCCTTCTTTGCCGTGACTTAGGCCGTTGATACACAACTTTTCCAACCTCTCCTCAGATCCACGAGGGACTCACTTATGGGAATTCATCCGTGACATCCTCCTGAACCCAGACAAGAATCCGGGGCTAATCAAGTGGGAAGACCGGTCTGAGGGCATCTTCAGGTTCTTGAAATCGGAGGCTGTGGCTCAGCTGTGGGGAAAAAAGAAGAACAACAACAGCATGACCTACGAAAAACTCAGCCGAGCGATGAGGTGAGGAGTTTCCAGTCCCAACCGTGACCGGTTGTTTCCTCGGCGGTCTGGGTCTGACCAGCCACCTCATGCGATGTCCTTTGTTACAGATATTACTACAAGAGAGAAATTCTGGAGCGTGTAGATGGACGAAGACTGGTCTATAAATTTGGGAAAAACGCACGTGGATGGAGAGAAAATGAAAACTGAATCTGCCAACACTTGGAACTCAAGCCAACACATACCCCAGACAATAGCAAACCAAGAAATCCTGCACATGCGTATTTCAAAGACTACTTTTCTCTGATATTTATGTACCATGAGGGGGAACAGCATCCGCTTCTAATGGGAAGAAGGAACACTACAGTCGATAAAATTATTTTGTTACTTTGAAGTATGTCCTATATGGGGAACAAACGTACACAGTTTTCTGTGAAATATGAGGCTTGTATGTGGCCGTGATTTGTTTTTGCCTCTATTGAAGTTCTTTTCCACTGCAAGAATGACAGGATTGGTAGCCTTGTGCTTCCTGCTAAAAGAAAGAAAAAAATATTAGAGGGCATTAAATGTTTTTATGTGCAAAATGATTAGGGAAAGGTGATGTGTCTTCTGCGCTTACGAATCCACGTGGTCTCATCAAGAGAGGTGGGTGTGGTTGTTAGCATGGACCCCGAGGTCTCAGATTGCCAGGATGAACCAGAGGATGCTGGGAAGTTTAACCTGGGCTTTGGGAGCCGGTGAGTGGAGCAGGAAGCCTTCTGAAATCCAAGTGGACTATAATCACTGCATAATCACAGGACTTGTGATGCTTAAATCAGCGAGAAGAATAATGGTGGGGGCTTTCTACTCATTCAAGAATGATTTACCTGATGCCAAGGCTGTTTTTCTCTCTCTCCCTTGCTTGGATGATTGGCGGGTGGGGGGGGGTGGAAACTTCAGTTGCCACCTCTGCTCACTTCTAGATATTTAAGAGAGGGTCTAGCCTTGGTTGTTTTTATCCCAATTGCTCCAAAATAAATGGGAAAAAGGAGGTGGTGATGAGTTTGCTCTTGGAGCCCTATAGCCCCTGAGTAATTCTTTGTTGTGCGTTATTGGGCTGTTTTGTGCATTGTAGGATGTTTAGCAGTAGCCACGACCTTTAGCCACTAATTGCCAATAGCACTCCCATCCCCAAAGTTGTGACATCTTCAGAAATTGCCAGGTATCCCTTGCAGGGCAAAATTGTCCTTGGCTGAGAACCACTGATGTAACCAGTCAAGATGAAGGTGGTGATTTACTCTCAGGACAAAGCTATGTGTAGATCTTTCAGTCCCTAGAGTGAAGTAAAAGCAAGACTGCAAAGTCAATCAATTTTTAATTTTTAAAATGTTAGGGACGTTGGGAATTCAGGAGTGGGACATCTAGAGGGAGTTTTCAGAACCCCAGATGAGAACCAAAGTCAGATGACAAACTAAACATAGTAATGTAGCAAAGAACTATAATAGAAGACATTTCACTAGAATTAAAAAGGAGTAAAAATTAAATTGCACAAGGAAATGCTGAGAAAAGAAAGAGAGAGAGAGAGAGAGAAGAAGGGAGGAAATGAGAGAGAGAGAAAGAGAGAGGGTTCCAGGGAAAATCTTTGCACATGTTAATTCTTATCATCATTCCTCTTTTGGATAATCTCTTTCTTGTCTCATCTCGACTCATCCCAAAGTGAATGATATGTCGCCTAGATTCGTGTCCAGAGGGATATTTTTGTTTGCTTTGAAAAGGAAAGACAGAAAAGAAAGGAAGAGGGAAGGGAAACAGAGAGCTCAGCTCCGGAGTTATGGTTAGTAAGAAGTTGGGGATTTCTTCGGTGGAATTGTTGAGAGGTTCCTGGAGACTCAGCACTGGGCCCTGCAGTCTGGGAGGAACGTGAGCCTGGGGACACTTTGGAAGTGACTTTAAACACTCAGATCCCTTTTGCACCTTTTCGTTTTGGTTTCCCGTGTCCTTGGCTTTCTCCCCCCCTTTTGCCTCTCTACCTTGAGCAAAAATGTGGGGGTGAAGACAATGGGTTTCATCAGCTAATGGACCACCTACCACCGTGTCTCACCCAGGGAAGGCGAGTGATTCATAGTCGAAGGTTGTGAAGTGTTTGTAATGTATTCAGAAGGTAGGAAGTAAGAATTAAGAATTTGTCCTGATTATAATGAGAGCCGTTATGGACGGTGACCTTGGAGGCCCGGCTTAAGGAGATCTTCTGAAGTTACAACCAAGTCCATTTTTATTTCCGCCTGCCTCGGTCACCTGCACGTACGTTGTCAAATAACAGTTACTGAGGAAACTGAGGGAAATAACAACGAGCAACACAGACCTGAAACATGCCTGCGTAAAAAACCACAAGGTGCTTTTCCAAGTGAAGCGAAAGAAGTGTGAGGCCTTTCCAGCATTTTAGCACTTTTCACATGGAATGAATTAAACATCCAAATATCTGAATTGGTGTAAACGCATGCATTTTTGCACATCTGCGTGCATCTGAACCATGCGGCGTCATTAGGGGCATCTGCTCACGTGCTCTCTGCCTTTTCCCCCCTGGCTTTGCCTGCTCTTCACCTAAAGTGGCTAGATCCTTCCCGGAGTTCACCCTTCCCCAAACCTGTACGTTTCTCACACTCCTCCAAATTGGCCTTGGCTCTTTCTGCACCGTCTCCATCAAGAGCACTTTCTGGTAGGTAGTAAGTAAATCTGGGGAGTACCGACTGGAACAGTTCTGCAGATAATTAACAGATTGTGTTATTTGCCGAAAGTGACAGTTTCTTGGCACCTGGTTCCTGCTTAAATAGGCTGGAGTATTAAGTTCTTAGCATATCTCTCTATTGTCTTGGCTTGAGTTGATGCATTTTCTATGTGCTGTTCGTGACTTGGAGAACTCATGGCAATTGGGCCATGCCAACTTAGGGTGTGAACGGAATACTTCCCACCACAGTGTTGCAAGGGAGAGCAAAATCCCAGAGAGTAGCCAGCATCAGGTGAAGCACCCTCCCCCCCCCCACCTTCTCTTGGGGACTCATAGCTTCTCACTCAAGACGCTTATCTGTGTTGGATGCTTACATGGTTATCACACCTGGTCTCTTGAATTCTCAAGGCTTGGGCTCTAATTTGTCATTTTCATGGGAATCCGAGGCAGGAAATGTGTTGCTAAGACTTGGCCAGATTTAGATAATCTGAGACTCCTGGATATTTGACTTGATGAAATTTGAGCTAGGCCTTGGATCCCAGAGACCTACACCTGCGGCTTCTTGAACTTGCCTTCTGACCAGGGCAGACCCGGGTGATGAGTTTTCCTTTGAACATGCCGGTCCTTCCTTAAAGTCCTTGTCTTTCTAGACTGTAAGCTCTTTGAGGGCAGGGACTATATCTTACCCATATTTCCCAGCACCTAGCATGAGATAGGTCCTCAGCAAACATTTGTTGACTTAATGAGCAAATGTCTTCTGGAAGATGTCTCCATATCCATAATTGGGATGTGAATCGTTTCTTCACTGGAATAGGAGCACAATGGCCACAACTTCAAGGACATGTTATCTATTAGATGAACATTCTACTGTGAGACTTTTTACTTTGCCTTCCTCCTTGTGCTGAAATGAAACCAAACAGACAAGTTGTTTGGTTCCACAAGCCAACATACATCAGAGGAGAATTCTGTTGCCTGATTAGGAGCTGTGAGCCTTATTTAGTACAAGAAGCCAGTAATGGACCTTTGACCTGTTTTAACCAATGAAGATTATGAATGTGTTTATACGATGTAAATTGCTATTTAAGTGTAAAGCAGTTCTGAATTTTAGTATATGGGGGTTGGTTTATATATAAATATATATATATATATTTTGTCTTTTTGAAAAATGCTGAGGGATCTTTTGATAAGGTTAGTCATGCATGTTAGACTTTCATTGTGCAAGTGTGCTGTTTTTCAAATGTATAAAATATAGGAGAAGGTAAAATAGTGAGAGGGAAAGGCAATTATGTTATTCTTCTATAGTTACTGTTGAGTGCCTACTAAGTGCACAGGGAGCCATATACATGAGGAGCTTCTTTAATTAGACAAAATGTACCAGATGTTCCATAGGACCCTATTGCGTGGACACATACTGTGTGAAAAAAGGGACAGCACAACAACGATGATATCAGGGCTGACTTAACTTCAGCTTTGGTTCTCAGGATTCCATTTCTGGATTAAGATAGCACTTGGTAAAACCCCACCAAGACTGTGCCTGATGAGCTCCTGAAATGTATAAGCCCTCACAGTTAGCTTAATTGGGATTGATCTTTCTGTAGGTATCTGCATAATTCTTGCTTTTCTTCCCATTTGGCTTCTGGGCTGACAGTTGGTGAAAAACAATCCTACTGCCGCTATTTTTTTTTTTTTTAATCAGAAATCTTGCCCTTTATGTGAAATTAACACTGAGTATTTTTGTTTTATGAAAGAATTATATTTTTCAAAGTATTGTTTTTTGTTTGATGGGTCCCAGAAAACACTAATAAAAACCCAAGACCAGCCTGTAATTGTGTGTTTCATGCTTCAAGGAGCCATCCAAAACTGGGCTTAGAGGAAATGCACTTAGTCCATAGCAACAAAATGCGTGTAATTCTTGCATATATTTAATTTAATACGCATTTATTGAGCATCTATGATGTGCCAGGCACTACCCTAGACACTAATCTATGGTAGAGAATGAAAGGGACAAAATCTCTACTCTCATGAAGTTCATGTTTCATGGAATGGAAACAGACAAGAAACAAAATACTAACAGGCAAATATTAGATGTGTAGTAAAGAAATGTAGAGCAAAAAGGAGTGGAAAATGCTGGGGTGTATGTAGGGATGTATGTAAGTTTAGCTCACATTTCAGTGAAGACCTGCAAGATGGAAGGAGTGATGCACGTAACTGGAGGAATGATACCTTACAGAAGGGACCAGCAAGTGCAAAGGTCCTGCGGTTCCTGACATACATTCCTGACATGTTCAAGGAGCAGCAAGGAAGACTTTTTGCCAGAGCCAAATAAGCAATAGTAGGAAATGATGTCAAATAGGCACTGGCAGGTTAGATGACATAGAACTTGGAGGATGTTATGAAAGTTCCAGTTTTTCTTTCGAGCGAGGTGGGGAGCTATAGAGAAGTGACATGTTCCCACTTCTGGGTTAAAAGAACCCCTCTGGGTGTTGCGTTGAGAATGAATTGCAGG